CCACCCCCACAGCTGAGCCCATCGGCCATTCCTGAAAGGAGCACAGTGGCAGCCACAGGAGTGGTGGCTGTCTCCAGGGGCCTCACCCTCTGCTCACCTCATGTCCGACCCCTCAGGACCCCGTGGAGTTGCAGCTTCTGCAGGATGAATGAGTCTTCTGGAAGCCAACAGTGTAATCAGGAGCCTGAGGTCCTGGAGAGGCAGATGGGGCCTGAGGAGCAGCTGGTGAGTCGGATGTGAACCCCCAGCCTTCTCCTCTGCCCTCTCATGTGACAAGCAGAAACCACACAGGGTCAGGGGATGGCACCCAAAGTAACTCAGCCATTGCACGCCTCTTTCCAAGAGCCACACATGTTTGGGGAAGCTTCTGGAAGGTGGGAGTGACATGCTTGTGCCTGGGCATATGTACGGGCTCTTTCTCTCCAAGATGCTTTTCATTCACAGCCTCCTCCTTTTGCAGAAATGCGAGTTCCTTCTCATGAAAGTCTATTGCTGTTCCGAGAGCTCCTTTTTTGCTAAGATTCCATATTATTATTACGTAAGTAGCAACAGCAAACCATGATTACAGGCCCCCGTGACATTCTGTGACCCTGAAACGCGCACTTGTGAGGTGCGAGTTCATAACCCCATGGGAGGAAGAGATGAGCTGCTGTAGCCCTTACCGTGCTGTATTTCTGCTGGATCTTATGGGCATCATAGAAGCGAGTCGGTGAGCTATGCCTGCAGCTCTCCCGTTGGTATTTTTGTCACCAGATTAGGCTGTCTTCTCAAGGCCTTAAGGACACCATGTGGTTGGACAAAATCAAGAAGAAGCTGCGTGAGCAGAGCTACTCCCAAGTAGAGGGGTTCACACAGGACATGCGCCTCATCTTTCAGAACCACAGGGCGTCGTACAAGGTATGTGGACCCTCAGCTTCCACTTCATATGTTCTGCATTGAGTCGTTCTGCCCCTCAGTTTCTGGTGTCCGAGAAAACTTAGTTCCCCTCATCGTGTAACAAGCCTGCGCAAGCAAGGTTTCTGGAAGTGAGTGATCTTTTCAAATCGGGACTCAGGCTCACCATTGCAAAGTCACAGTGACTTAGAAGGTGTCCCTGAGTCTAGAGCCCTGGGAGCCTGAGAGCTCTTTCCTCCCCCTCCGTAAGGTGACAGGAGCCCACAGAGAAGAGTCCTGCCTGCTCCCACACAGGAAGAGAAGGAAAGTTCATCTAAACGCCATATTGTGCTTTATGTCCCCAGTCCAACTTCTCAGAAATCCCGAACCCCAAGTCCTGTACATGTGGGTGGGCCACATGGCAAACCAGGGTCACCAGAGAGGAGTAGAAGTGACCGGGAGACAGGAAGAGATCACTGATCTTACCTGACACTCTTCTATGATTTGAACTGATGCAGAGAACGTAGATTACTTTCCTAACTCACTGAAATAAGCAACCAAAGTCAAATAAATAATAGTCCCCAAGTGTGGTAATGATGTCACATTTGGTTCACGCAAAGGCAGTGTGTTCTAGATTCCCACAGTGGTGCCTTGTGGGATCTCTCTGATCCTGGTGACAGGCACATTGTTTCACTTTCTAGCCAGGAAACTCGGATGTATGTGAGGTGTGCCAGGATGGAGGACAGCTGTTCTGCTGCGATACTTGTTCCAGATCCTTCCATGAGGACTGCCACATCCCACCTGTGGAAACCGAGAGGTCAGTGGGATGCAGTCCCCTCTCTCTCCTCTCCTTCTGGGAACTTCCCTCCTACCATGCACACTCTCCTCCCCCATGCATGTGTCCTGCTTGTGTCTGGATGGGAAGGAGCAGTGTCTTTAGGTCCTGGGACCCCGCAGTGTGATCCAGAGAGCTGTTTAAGGACACGGGCAGCAGGAGGTTAATGATCTTTGTGCTGTCCGAGACCCACCCTCTAGGACGCCAAGGCCAGTGCCTGGGCCCCTTTGCCTATATACTGTTTCTTTCCTCGAAGTTTTGCAGCAGGGACTCCTGTCCAAGGCGAGTCGGGTACAGGACACACCGCTGGTTGATGTTCGCACTTATTCAGGAAGGGCAGGAAGCATGGCTGGTCACACATTTCACCATGGTCTCATCGGGCTGACAGAGGCCCACGGTCCCCAAGGGTTAAAGCCCAGTTTCTGACACTCGGGCCTGGCAGGCGGGGCTCCTTCTGCTCACAGCAGCTCAGACGAGGAAAGCGGGTCCCACCACTCGATGACACCACCTTGCTCAGACTGTCTGCCTGCTGCTGCCACTGATGGGAGGGGACCATCGGCTGGACACCCCTTATGAGGGTCTTGGACACTCTGGGAGGTGTCCTCCACCCCCACAGCTGAGCCCATCGGCCATTCCTGAAAGGAGCACAGTGGCAGCCACAGGAGTGGTGGCTGTCTCCAGGGGCCTCACCCTCTGCTCACCTCATGTCCGACCCCTCAGGACCCCGTGGAGTTGCAGCTTCTGCAGGATGAATGAGTCTTCAAAATGTATAGACTCTCTAACATTGTGACCTTAATTTTCCAGATATTTCACTCTTTAAATTGAATGTAGTATTTTAATACTATTTAAGTCTTTTGAAAGGGCTTATAATATTACAGACTTAAGTTGTGAAACATTTGAAACAAATGAAAAGTAAAATAGCAACTGACTTAGGACTGTATAGTTGTTGTACTAAGTTCTTTTAAAAAACACAAGTGTTCTAATCATTCTCGATTGCAAGTTGTCTGACACTAATAATTATTTTTGTCTTTATTATTTTTTCATAGTACAATGAGTTTGGCCAAATGGGACTTAGACTGGAGGCTGAATTTGAGAAGAATTTCAAGGAAGTGTTTGCTATTCAGGAACAAAATGAGAACAATTGACTGTTGCAGTGGATACTGAAGAAGTTTGGAGAATGCCAGCCGAAATATGGCACTTTGGGATGCTGAGGGCACTGGGGACAGGCCGGGATCATGTTCTCTGAGCTCCCCTCAGGTACCTGAAGACGATCCTCCAGAAAGAACCCCATGGCCATCAACCCCCACCCACCCACTGGGAATCTTAACCAGGGAAGGTGAACTCAGATCACAGGAGAGGACACTGGAGGCTGACACCACTCCCAGACAGATGACTCTTCTGAGGGCTGCTCTGAGGGAACGTGCAGTACCTGAGAGACTTTTGTCTGCATAACAGGACAACCTTCAGTCACCACACACTTCCTCCCCTCACCCTCCTGTCACTTGTGTTGTGACACCACCCCACACCACCGCCCAAGCTCCAAGCCCCTATTTCTTTGTGTAGCTCAGGATGCTCGATAAGTCAATCATCTGACCCTTCTTTGAATCTCATATTTTGTGGGACTTACCTGGGTACATATGTAAGTAATTAAATTTTTGTGGGACTTCTGCGAGTACATAAGCAGTAATTATAATGTATTTTTTCCTCCGGCCTTATGCCACTTTAATTCATAGCCCAGCCAAAGAACCTAGAAGGGTTGAGGGAAGCCATTTCTGCTTCCTACATGCTGTTGGTATCCTGTGAATCTCCTTTTCTGGCCAGGTCTTCCCCTCCCCCAGGTGCTGTGAGTGTTGGCTGCTTGTGCCACCATCGCAGAGTATTGCCTGGGCCCAACAGAGCCACCTTCTCTGGAGGTTACCCCTCATGGCCTGGGGCAGCCCCTTTGCCTCCAGGTGGAACCACGGATGTGGTGTTGCTCCTGTGTTCCCGTGGTCTCCAGCTGTGACATCCTGCCTGAGACTTTCCCACCACGCTATGCCACTTCCCTCACCCCTCTCCTGAGGGCACTCTCACAACAGCCCACCTGCTTAGGAGACTGTGTCCCAGAGTCTGCTTCTAGGGAACCCAACCTCAGACAATGGGCCTAAGACAATAGGCAAGGTCTAAGGATGGGATTCTGGAGCTGGGTCACTGTGTAGCCAAGTGGTGATGGGTGGAATATTGATAGTCTCGGGTGCTAAAATGGTGCAGCGCCCAAACTCACACCTGTAGGAAACTGGATGAGCTACAGGTGAAGGTGTGCACTAGCTGGTGCCATTGCCTGGCATTTAAGAGGGAGAAAAAGTAACTATAAGAATGTGGGTTTTGGTGGCTGTTGCTAAGTGGCACCTAAGTGCCACTAAAGTGTTGAAAAGAGAGGTGTTCATCACCAACCTAAAGCAAAGAGGCCCCCATGCCTGAAGGCAGCTAAGTGGCACTGATGTGTTGAAAAGAGAGGTGTTCATCACCAACCTAAAGCAAAGAGGCCCCCATGCCTGAAGGCAGCAAGGGAGGCTCCCCCAGGCCCTAATTTTAAGAATGGCAGAATGTCAGAGAAGACTGAATTCTATTCTCAAGGTGATCTCTCTGATGCCAAAGTCAAGGCCTTCAAACTCAGAATGGTGCTGTCTAGGTAGACACACGTGAGAATTTTAAACTCCACATACCCCCTGAGCCCACTGGGCCTGCAGAGAAGTCCCCCAACCCTTATTGGAAGAGAGAGCTACCACCCCCAGCACCCCATTCTGATTGAAGGAAAGTGTGCAGAGGCCTCTCAGCAAAACCCAGGCAAGGTGAAAAGAGGGTTTATGCTCCAAAGGAGCTAGGAGATTGAGTCTAGGAGTGGTTCTTGCATCAAGAAAGGTGAAATACATAACTGAATGAGGGAGAATTGTCCGTACAGGGGCACTCATCTGTGGCACAGCGTTTAGTTAGCCTGGCCAGGACCAAAAATGAGGATTCTGTCATGCTCCTGGGTGGTTCTTATAGTCTTAGAATAAGCCGTGGTACACATTAAATAAAGTATGAGGTATTTCAGAACTAGCATGCCAGACTCTGGAAAATGGATCCAAAGGCCCAGAGAGGCTGGCATGCTGGAATGGCTGTACTCTCTACAACTGGAAAG